AAAGAGTGGTAAATACCAGAGTTCAAACTCAGAGGGTATCATTCATTATACCTCAGAAGGCACTATAGGAGAACAATGAAGATGAGACACATGTAACAATAAAGATGAGGCACACTTAACAGTTATAAAAGAAGCGTCTGTAACTGTTAATCTTCCCTCAAAATATATGAGGATCTATATCTACTTCTAACTTTGGTGTCAAATAAACTACGGAGATAGCCAAGTATTCAAGGATTGCATTTATAGAAGAAACATAGATGGTGATGGCCATTATAGTACACTCCACCTTAATGTAAAAATGCATCCAATTTCTTTTTGATATGTTCAAAAGCATCTTTCCCCATATAGTCCATACGCCCTTCCTCCCATTTTCTCCGTTCATCTTCTGGACTTGGTTCTTCTGGTTTAAAGTGAATAGACAGCTCTGAGACAGAATGTGCAACCTCGTTCTGTGGGAAGAAGCAGAACAGTGGGAAAACAGTCACTTGGTTGTTCTCATTTCAGTGCTGTGGAGTTAAACCTTAAATGGCAAACTTCTGCTTTGCACAGTCCCAGTTAAAACACTAAAACAAACAGGATTCAAACATTAATTCTTGGTTTGATAATGTGATCTCATTTTCCCATGCTTTTACTACTTGTCATAGCATCTTTGAAAATACCAAACATTTATTTCACTTGTCTTAACTCAGACCTTGGCATACTCAGCAACAACACAGTAAGAATATTACAAATCCAGCCTGTTTAGAGTGGAATATCTCCTAGAATAAATTGTAACCATATATCTGTGCAAATTTGCTCTTCAACAGGCTTTCATGTGAACACAAGTTCCTAGAATTTTTGGTCATTTGTTTTATCTGAGACCAGTATTATTTAGCAGATGTGAGACACATTACCCATATAAATTAATTCAAAAGATTGACACTATTCATTATATCAATAACTAGTTCATTTTGAATGACGGTCCAAAATTGTGAATCCTGGTTCAAGATCAAGTTATCATAGGTGCAAAAATGCAAGACACATTATTTGCGATAGTTTTGATCACATGACAGAAAAACTGTGTCCATGATTGACCAATGCCAGTAAAACCAGAACATCCCAACAATAAAGATGAAATACAACAAGGACTAAACAAGGCAGCTACTGAAAACCTGCTTGCAGTACTACTCCAAGTGGCTCCAAGGCAAACAACTCATCTCATGTTATAAACAAAATTGCCCTCACAAATCCAATATAAAAAAGTTTCAAAATAGAACTTAATGGGCAGGAATCAGTGGCTTGAACTGCCTAAATGCAGTTTACTGCCTAAATCTATTACATCTGCCTATTTGGGGCAGATAAGGCTCAGGACTTGCACAAGACCTGCACCTGCAGACCAGGTAAGGTATTTCAGACAGCCAACATGACACTATATGCTTAGGCAACTGCATCCTTCCATATGAATCCCCACCTGGGTCCCACTCTGTACGTGACTTTAAACATGAATAAATACTCTGAAGAGGATGCTTGCTTCCTATATATGCAAATATGCAACAATACTTGGTATTTAATTTTTAGGCTTTGTACACACATAACTGCAGTAATGCATGAAAATTCCTTTCCTTACCATTGGTGAGCCTTATCAACAGCTTTGGATGTCATTAACAAGAAGACAGGAATCATTGTGTTTTTAGAAATGGAGAATTGTAGCTAGGGCCCAAACACCCCTGGCTGCACAGGAGCTACAGTTGCACCTACAGTTTTGTTTCTGTCTTAAAGTATTTCATCGTAGTGCTTCTCAGTCATGCAAAAGGCCTCACAAGGAAAATGGATGTGTGGTGTACCTTACCAGATACAGCTCCTTGACAGTCTGTCACCCCCATCAACGCCAAGTCTGGCGCTGCTGTTGCACTGCCCACAGATAAATGCAGTGCAAGATCAGAAAGGAAAGCCTAGTAGCTTAGGTTTCATGCGTGACTCACCGTACATTCATATTCTACTTGCTTGGAAATACCACTTCAGCAGGTTAAAAAACCAAACCAAAACAAAACCCAGAACAGAACAAAAAACCCAAACAGCTTTGCTTGTGTTAGTATTGGAGAGCTAAAATTAACTACATGCATTTATTATTTTGGGGCTAGCACAGTAAAATACACATTTAAAAACTAGAAGTATAACTGATAGAAAAGGATTGTACCCCAGTATTGGAAGCAGTTTAGCTATGGCTAAAAGATTCAAGAATTTATTTGCACATTGCATCATAATTAGTTGAGATTTCCCAAAATTATGTTGGCAGCAAAAACATGCATGCAATTATCAGCAGATGCACAATGCAGAAAGCTACATGTACCAGTTCTGAGGTTTCCTGAAACGCAGGATGAAATACAGGTTGTTCTGAAGGTCTGTCAGCCTCAGAGAGATGGACGTTAGAACCGCTTTGTTCAACTTCACATACAGGTTGCTAAAAATACAGCCACTGAGGTTTTATTAGGAGAATATTTTTTTTCATAGTTCCTTATCATGAGAATTCATACAATACAGACTGATTTCAGTCTTGGAGTAGGGGAAAGCAGGGGATGGGAGGAAAAGGAACGAAACACATTATCACCAAGGACAAAATTCATCTTGCCCAGCTTCAGCTATCAAAATGGCATTGAATCTAAGCTCCTACTGTAATCAATCTAGGATAAGTACCTCCAGAGGGCAGCTCATCTTATCCTAAAATAGGTTCAAGAGTGGCTGTCATTCTTCAGTGACTACAGAAACAGCCTGGAAAGCTAGATTACAGTAGATGCCTACCATTCACACCACCAAACTTCAATGAGAAAAATGTCATTTTATGACAATAGCTTGCTCTATAACTCATGAGCTTTTTATACGTATAGAATGGGAACAGAACAATGAATTCCAAAACAGAGGTAAAATAGATTGCCAAAAAAATACTGCCCCAAATATTTGCCCTTGCCAGATATCAAAATACGAATGAGTAGACAGTCTCCATCCTGAAGTCTCCTCCACCAAAACCAAAGCAATCCCACAAAACTACTGAAGCTAAGTAACAAAAAAGTGGAATGATGGTGTTCCTAGCAAAAAGAGTATCAGGCTATTCATTTCTGATTAATACGATCTTCTGATAAACCAATTCTAGTAATTAAAAAAATAAAAGAAAATTTGGAATGACATTACTTTAAGTGGACATTATGATTTTTTTAACCCAAATTAACATCTTGAAAATGTGCCCCTATTTGGTTTGAGCATTTCCAATGGGGTCAGATGCATGAGGCACACAAGATAACACATCCTTTGCAAATATAGTATTCTCAAATTATAGAGCTGGAAGGTTCGCAGTTTTTCTTCAGCCCCTCCATACTGACGGTGGAAAAGAAAGGAAGGAAGACCACAGTTTTACTTTAGGGAGTAACTATAGTCTAAAGGGATGAAGCACTGAACATAATAAAAACTGTCTTCATCTTACTAGAGAGTAGTCCACAAGTTACAACAGCAGATGACATCAGAACATTAATTTTATTTTCTCCCAATTGTAACTTGCTGTAGCATGGTTTATCATATAGCATGTAATGACTTACAGCTGCAGAAACATTGTGCTGTTATGTCCAACTTAATTCCTGCATAAAATAAGGGGAGTCAGTGCAACAGAAACACCCAAACACAAGAAGAGTGACAAAAGAACCAGGACCCCTGCAACGTTCATCAGTGGATTCCTTTAAGACACTCCTTGTTGCCCAAATCACAGAAATCTGGGAAACAGTTTTCAGAGTCAACAGTTATGGAAAAAACCCAAATAATTTCTAAAGAGGACTGACAGAAAGGATTCTAGTTTTAAATATATTCATTCACAAGAGTATTAATATTCAAAAAGATTACTTTGGTAAGAGAATTTTTTTATATTACACTTTATTAAGTACCTAATCTCTTCACAAAATTCAATGCAAACTCTTTCAACCTCCAGACACATCATGCATTCGTGACTGAAGATTAAAGAAAATAAATACTCTTTAGACTATTTCTGATGCTAGCAAGAAAATTCAATAGCTACAGCTAAATTGAAGAAAATATAATAGCCCAGAGGAGAAGCATAATTAAAATATCTCATTTTACTGTATCATATTACTTTGTTACTGCATATAGTAATATACAACATACTTACAGCTTTGAAAGTGAGTTCCTCAGGTGAACATGCTGTGGGATGCATTTCATACGTCTGCTCTGGAAGCACAGGCATTTGCAGCGAATTGGCCACAGAAGGACTGACCTTTTTCAGTGTAATTTCAACTCCATTGAAAGTGTGCTAACAAAAATAAGAACATCTCATTACTTAAATGCAATTTTGCAGGAAATTGGTATCTTATGTACAACAGTTTCACTTCCTTACAGGGATCTCAGCATTAAAGGAATAAGTTAATAAATTAAAAAATTTTGTGGTCCCAGATTCAAAGTATGCTGCAATTTAGATTTTTGTACCCATGAGTATGCCAGCATCATCAGGAGGGAAATCTAACAGGTATTTCCACCTTCATGTTACCGTGGCTGAAATATTTCTTTACTGCACAACTTCTTAAAAATTAAAGCATGTTGAAGTGTGAGATCAAAAACTACTCATTCCTTCCACTGCTTTCCAATTTGTCGTGAGGTTAACAAACCAGATTCCTCTCTAGGGCTTTGATGGTTAATTGTCCAACTCATCTTATGGGACTATGCAATTAGTTCAATGATGGTAATAGTCTAATATTAAAAAAATTAAGAAAATATTTACATGTGCCTAAAAGTTATCTAAATTGTCATGTCTGGATACAAAATTAAAAATCTTACTTCTCCTACTCATTACTTTATGCTGCTGGTCTCCAAGAAATCATCTATTTATCAACAGATTTTTTTATTCTATTCATGGAAACCATACATTGCTGCACTTCCTTTGAAGGAAAAAAAAAGTGTAAAGAGCTCAGTAAGTGCCTGATGACATACAAGTACTGAATATAGCATCTTAAATGTAATTAACACTGCCTTTGCAAATCTGATTTATTTGCTATGACTCTTATAAAGCAAGTTATAATGCAGTTCTGCAAAGGTAAATTTTACTATAGTTCAAGGGCTAGTTTGATGGTCTACATCAACTTAGCTTCAAAAAGTCAAAAGTCTGTTTCATAGCCAGATTATCACCTTCTCTGGCTAATTTGTATCATACTTTGTGCTGAATTTGCAGAATCTATACACATACATTCCCATACAAACTCTTCATCAATTAAGAAGGGGGCTGGGAGAAATCTTTGGAAAGCCAATAGTACTAAAAATCCTTTCTAAACTGCTAGTTTAGATGCTTCTAGAAGCAACCACTGCTACTACCAATCAACAGATATTATGTTTTTTCATGTCATTCATTCCTCTAGCAAACACGTAATATTCAGAATTTTTCTTGCGATTCCAGCACATTCCCTCTAACTCCTTGTTAGTTACCTTGCATTCCTCAGATTCTGATTCTTCCATCTTTTGAAGTTTTTCTAACAAAGGCAATATGCTGGCACTGTATATATTCCACCAGAGGGCAAGAAATGACAGCTGATGAAAAGATCCAGACGTGGTGCCATCCTGCATAACTCTCTTTGTTTGAAGGTTGTATTTGTAGTTCCAGGGCTTTGTCGCTCCCAAGAAGTGAACAACTTTGGCATCTCTACCAAAACTGTAGAGATGAAACATACAGGTCTATACATTAAATATTTTTTTCTAGCCTATATAAACTGCTAAAGAAACACACTTACTCTCAGTGATGAGGTAATTTCCACATTTTGCAACACCAACACATTCAATCTGAGTGTATATATATTAATATTTTTTTCTATCTCATTAGTTTAAGGTATTTTGTTTAGCATACAGAAAACAAAAGGCTGCATTGCCATTTGCTTCCAACTGCTGAGTCTAGTAGAAATGTTCACGAAGGAAGATGACAAGGCTCATGCAGTACCATTTCCAGTCCTCCTGCATACTCTGTTCACAAATAAATAAATACCACTTCAAACACTGAATCAACAAAATTGGTTATTACTGATCCCATATTAAACATTACTAATAAATACATCATCCTAAGTTCACTTTCCATTAAGAGTATTTTGTGCAACTGGAACAGTAATTCATGACACCCTAAATCCAACTTGCCAGGAAAGTTTCTCTAACTGCATTGTCTGAAGTCATATAATTACTACCACAAATTTTGTTTCACGGAATAACCTAAAAAATGGTTTAAAAAAATAATTAAAAAAAAACCCAGGTGTTTCCCATAGAACTGACTGGAAAAAAGGGAACAACTTTCAAAGTAAAGCTGCCAGAACCTAATGCTAAAGTAATCTACATCTTTTGAAACGTCAGAAAAGCTTCTCTGAAACAACGTATGAGACAGCGTAGCCAACTCTAGGACTCCCTCTGTGTCCCGATGCAAGACATTCATATTGAATTTAAGCTTCTTCTGCATGACTTTTACATAACATCATTTCTGCCTACTGTAATTTATAATCATCAGAATATGCCATTATTATTCTGTTATAAACATAGAATCATAGAATTGTTTAGGTTGGAAAAGACCTTTAAGATCATCCAGTCCAACCATTAACCTAACACTACCAAGTCCACCACTAAACCAGTTCAGGGTAGAGTAATAATTAATTTCATGTTTCCTAGCTTGGTGGCTGGATTACTTTTTAATGGAAGTAAAACTAGAATGGAATCATTAAGGTTGGAAAGGATCTCTAAGATCATCAGTCCAATCGCCAACCCACACCACCATGCCTACTAAACCATGTCCCAAAGTGCCACATCTACCCATTTTTTGAACACAACCAGGGATGGTGACTCCCCCACCTCTCTGGGCAGTCTGTTCCAATGCTTGACCACCCTTTCCGTGAAGAAATTTTTCCTAATACCCAATCTAAACTTCCCCTGATGCAACTTGAGGCCATGTTGAATGTTTGTTAACAAACTACAGAGGTTTACAGTCAGTCAGAAGTGTTACTACTTACTGATTGAAAGCAGGAATGTAGGTGTATACAGCACTGCTGCTTAAGTTATAGAGGAAAGGTAAGTGTTTGCCAATATCTGCTGTTGCCCAGTTGCTGAAGAAGCTATTCAACAAGCCTTGATCACCTCCTAAAGAATATATAACACAGTTTTACCATAATTATGAGTACATGCAAATTTACGTCAAAATTTCACGTCCAAGGATGGGAGTGAGACTGGTGCATTCATGGGACTGCAACTGTGACTTGACAATATGGCCACGTGAGCAGGTACAAGTGAATAATACCTGATCCACTCCGATGCAAGTTCAGTGTAAATGGAGTCCTATTGTAATATATGAAGAAAGGAGTAGGAAAGGGGTTTGGTCTCCCTCAGAGCAGAAGACTGAAGATCAGCTGTATTTCTCTCTCCTAAACCAGACAGCAAAATTAAAACTTACTGAGCAAGACTTGATTGCACTTTTCTGTGAAGCACAGTCCACAATAAGTCAATGGGTCTTACGTACAGTGCAAGAGGCAAAGGCCTGCACCTTAAATTTTTGTGGGGGCACAATTACATAAAGCCAAGAGAACTCTTGCCTTCCTGCATTCTGCCTGATAGCATGGAAGCTATGGAAAAACAGCTTACTGAGAAGGAATCTAATGTCTTGCACTTCGTCCCTTATGCTTTGCCCCTTACCATCAAAGCTGCCATGTTCAGCAGCAAACCGGAGCAGTAGGTTGTAAGTTTTCAAAGAAGGTCGGAACACAAATACACCACTATTAAAGCAGTCAGGCCAGCCAGAATCAGGAGCTGCTGAAAACTCTTCTCGATCAAACAATTCATCAACATTGCAAAGCACCTTAGAGACAGTAAGAAAAAAAGAAAAATTGTTAGAGCAAATGTTTTTCTAGAACATGAGTAGCTAAATCAGTGCCAGTGGAGTAAATTGCTAGTTTGGCCAAGTATATAGCTTGCAGAGCATAAAAGCAATGGCAATGTAGAATATGCTAGGGGTCAGAACCTCTGTTTTTAATGTAATAAGGTAACATTAATTGTGGTTTTCCATGATCTCTCTGATAAAAGCACAAACCCTGTGAAGTTACTTCATGACCCTCAGAGACCCTGCAGCAGCTCCCTTTATTATATATAAATA